TCGGGTGGGTCCTGTCAAGAAGCTGACGCTTCCTCGATTAGAGTTAAGCTGAGCTCAACTTCTGAGTAAGTTATATACAACTGTCAAAAACATATTCATCGGCAAGCGTGCGTCGCGCGCATTTCTGGTCTGATTCGCAGATTGTCTTGCACTGGCTGCAACAACACTCTATCACCTTGTCGACATTTGTTGGAAATAGAGTATCCATTATACAAGATCAAACAGCAGATGGAAAGTGGAGACATGTACCGTCAAAATTGAACCCTGCTGACATCGTGTCACGTGGATGCCCAGCTAATGAGCTCCAGCAATCAATTTGGCTTACAGGACCTGCTTTTCTACGTGATTCCGAGACTCAATGGCCCTGCCATCAATTCGACAATGATTTGGATATGGACATCATCAATGTTGAAAAACGGAAGTCTACATTTGCTGCAATTATCGAAAGAATTCTATTCTGGACTGGCAGAACGGAACCAGTTCATACATTCGGGCACTTCGCCACGAACATCATCAGGATCATCCAACAGCACTATTTCAAGGAAGATTTGCAATTGCTAAGGAAACAAAGAGATTTGAAAAGCAATCTGAAATTTCTCAGCCCCTTCATAGATGACTCTTCTGGATACGAGCTCATTAAGGTTGGTGGCAGACTCGAGCATGCTGATATCCCCTCTCGTCAAAGGCATCCTTTACTTGTTCCCAAGGAATCGCAATTTGTCCACAATTATGTTCGGCATCTTCACTTGCGCAATTACCATGCAGGACCAAAGGCATTAGTTGGACTGCTGCGGCTTCAATTCTGGGTCATAAACGCAAGAGCTTTAGCACGCAGCATTGTTCGTTCTTGTGTACACTGTGTCAGATATCGTCCAGTTCTACTTCGTCAAGTCATGGGTTCCCTGCCACCTGAGCGCTTATCCACAGACAAGCCATTTCGCCACGTTGGAGTCGACTTCTGCGGTCTAGTGAATCTTCGAATACGTGGCAAGGGTCCCACAAAATTCTATATCGCCATATATGTCTGCATGGCCGTAAAGGCCGTTCACATTGAAATCGTGTCAGATCTTTCAACGAATAAATTTTTGGAATCGTTAAAACGAATGGTTGCCCGTCGTGGACCAGTATCGCACATCTATTGTGACAACGCCACAAATTTTGTCGGAGCATCCAACAAGCTACTCGAGTTAAAGAAGTTCATGTTCAACACTAGCACTCAAGATGCTATCCTATCATATTGTTCCTCTGAAGAGATAACCTTTCATATCATTCCACCTAGGGCTCCACACTTTGGCGGTCTTTGGGAGGCCGCTGTCAAGAGCACAAATAGTCTGCTGGTGCGTACCCTCGCTAACACCCGGTTCACCTTTGAGGAACTGAACACTGCAGTCGTTGAGATAGAAGCAGTACCCAACTTTCGCCTGCTGTCACCGCTATCATCTGATCCCAACGACTTAGTGACGAATCCGAGATTAAGTGAGCCACACTTTTATATACCTCACCATTGTGTTTTCAAACCCAGCAGTGCATCAACGAAGTTACGAGTCGTGTTTGACGCCTCGTGCACTTCATCGTCCCAGTATTCATTGAATGATTTGCTTCTCGTTGGCCCAACACTCCAAGAAGATCTGTATATACTTCTCCTTCGTTTTCGATCGGTTCGTTACGCCATCACTGCGGACATTACGAAAATGTATAGACAAGGTTTAGTCAGCCCAGTGGATCGGAAATTTCAATATATATTTTGGAGTGCATCCCCTGATGCTGATTTGCAGACCTTTGAGCTAAATACAGTGACGTATGGAATGGCCCCATACTTAGTAGTTCGCAGTTTGCAATATCTGGCAGATCTGCATGTGAACGTGTTTCCCATTGGCGCATCCATTGTTAAATCATCGTTTTATGTTGATGATCTGTTATGCGGAGCAAACGAGCTCATCAAGTTGCAGAACATCAAACACGAGGTCACCGAGATACTTCGCCAAGGACACTTCCCATCGGTAAAGGATTTAAACTTGGATGAAAACGCTGTCACTAGCGCACTTGGCGTAGCTTGGGATCAACGTCGTGATGTGCTACTATTTGTATTTAAACCCAAAAAATTGTATTCAACAGTCACAAAGAGGACTATTCTCTCGACTGCGTCTTCTCTGTTCGATCCATTAGGATTGCTGGCACCAATCATTATCGTCTCGAAAATCATCATACTGGAGCTATGGCTGCTAAAACTCGCCTGGGATGAATCTGTTCCGCAATCACTTCTACAAGCATGGAGAAACTGCGTAACGTCTCTCAAGGAATTGTCGTTGATTTCAGTACCACGTGTTTGATTGCAAGCTAAGCTCACAGACATAAAACTGCACGCTTTCTGTGAAGCATCAATACGTGCTTACGGCTGTTGCGTATATGTGCGTTCCACGGACGCGTATGGCAATGTCCAGATTCAGCTTCTGCCTGCTAAATCTCGGGTGGGTCCTGTCAAGAAGCTGACGCTTCCTCGATTAGAGTTAAGCTGAGCTCAACTTCTGAGTAAGTTATATACAACTGTCAAAAACATATTCATCGGCAAGCGTGCGTCGCGCGCATTTCTGGTCTGATTCGCAGATTGTCTTGCACTGGCTGCAACAACACTCTATCACCTTGTCGACATTTGTTGGAAATAGAGTATCCATTATACAAGATCAAACAGCAGATGGAAAGTGGAGACATGTACCGTCAAAATTGAACCCTGCTGACATCGTGTCACGTGGATGCCCAGCTAATGAGCTCCAGCAATCAATTTGGCTTACAGGACCTGCTTTTCTACGTGATTCCGAGACTCAATGGCCCTGCCATCAATTCGACAATGATTTGGATATGGACATCATCAATGTTGAAAAACGGAAGTCTACATTTGCTGCAATTATCGAAAGAATTCTATTCTGGACTGGCAGAACGGAACCAGTTCATACATTCGGGCACTTCGCCACGAACATCATCAGGATCATCCAACAGCACTATTTCAAGGAAGATTTGCAATTGCTAAGGAAACAAAGAGATTTGAAAAGCAATCTGAAATTTCTCAGCCCCTTCATAGATGACTCTTCTGGATACGAGCTCATTAAGGTTGGTGGCAGACTCGAGCATGCTGATATCCCCTCTCGTCAAAGGCATCCTTTACTTGTTCCCAAGGAATCGCAATTTGTCCACAATTATGTTCGGCATCTTCACTTGCGCAATTACCATGCAGGACCAAAGGCATTAGTTGGACTGCTGCGGCTTCAATTCTGGGTCATAAACGCAAGAGCTTTAGCACGCAGCATTGTTCGTTCTTGTGTACACTGTGTCAGATATCGTCCAGTTCTACTTCGTCAAGTCATGGGTTCCCTGCCACCTGAGCGCTTATCCACAGACAAGCCATTTCGCCACGTTGGAGTCGACTTCTGCGGTCTAGTGAATCTTCGAATACGTGGCAAGGGTCCCACAAAATTCTATATCGCCATATATGTCTGCATGGCCGTAAAGGCCGTTCACATTGAAATCGTGTCAGATCTTTCAACGAATAAATTTTTGGAATCGTTAAAACGAATGGTTGCCCGTCGTGGACCAGTATCGCACATCTATTGTGACAACGCCACAAATTTTGTCGGAGCATCCAACAAGCTACTCGAGTTAAAGAAGTTCATGTTCAACACTAGCACTCAAGATGCTATCCTATCATATTGTTCCTCTGAAGAGATAACCTTTCATATCATTCCACCTAGGGCTCCACACTTTGGCGGTCTTTGGGAGGCCGCTGTCAAGAGCACAAATAGTCTGCTGGTGCGTACCCTCGCTAACACCCGGTTCACCTTTGAGGAACTGAACACTGCAGTCGTTGAGATAGAAGCAGTACCCAACTTTCGCCTGCTGTCACCGCTATCATCTGATCCCAACGACTTCAGCGCTCTCACTGCAGGACACTTTCTTTCGTTACGAGCAGATCACAGCTGTTAAACAGCAATTTTGGCGTCGTTGGTCTGCGGAGTATGTGAACGAGCTCCAAGCCAGGACAAAATGGACTTCGGCTTCCCCAAATTTCACAGTTGACTCTATGGTCATCATACATGAGGACAACACACCACCATTACACTGGAAATTAGGGCGTGTTGAGTCTGTTGTGAGTGGCAAAGATGACCGGGTTCGTGTCGCATATATTCGCACTGCCTCTGGACTCTGTTGCCGGCCAGTACATAAGCTGGCTGTTCTACCTGTCTCTCGAAAGAGATTTCTTTCAAGGCGGCCGGGATGTTCGGTCATATACCTCATATATACATTAGTCAGGGTATCAATAGCAATGTCAAAGCAGATTATGTTAACATATGCTAATTCTCTTCTATTTGAATGTCATAAGCACTCATACACATGTACGAAGCCTCGCTCTCTCTCGAACTCTGTAATTGCTCGGTCCCTTTAATCTTAATTTATGTTAAGAAATCAGTTCTGTAAGCATCATCATAGAAATCAGTCGTGTTTCTCATCAATTTGTAAAACACGCCCACTTGAGATAAGATTCTTAAAAGGTCAAAAAAAAACGCTTTTGATCCAACATTACACATTTCAAGACAAAATTAAAAAATCCTCTGTAAGGGTATACAAGTTTGATATCTGTAGCTCTCCTTACCCACAGCTATGCTCTTTTCTAATTTTAATCATTAAATCGAAGAGTCTTCCTTTTGCCTATTACATACAATTGTATAAACAGATGACTTCAGTTGTCCTTCAGCTTCCAATCCCTATGGTCATATTTTCCTAAAACCCAGTGTTACTTTGCTTGTCAGTTCTTTCTTTTCGGGTTGCACTTTAATCAATATATTAATGTTATTATTAATATTAATGTATAGTAATAGAACAATCTTAAGTACATTCATAACTGATAAATGCATATTTTTGCAAAAGTAAAAATATCCGTATGTTTATTCCTACCATCTTATATACATCAACATGTTAATAACATCATTACAATTTTTTGTCCCTCACAGCTAGAAAAGTTCCGAAACCACAACTCGCAGTGGCTATGTATGGTAGAGTCGCAGCAGGAACGGGATAACGAGCAAGACTACGTTGATAATAATGATAATGATAATGATTTAAACACGTTTATACGATCTGAGTACTTAGACAATTGCAATATATACAACTCAAACATTAATGAGCTTGAATATGACAGCCCAGCTATATCCACTTATAGCAAGTATGTAAGCACGTAGGTATAACAACATGGAAGTATGAGTCCTGGTCGATAACTCATTTTTCTTTCGCACAGGTATCGGCGCGGCCAGGATCTTGATGGAATGTGTAATATGAGCTTTAGCCCCAAGTCGCAAGGTTCCAGCCAGGGTGGCGATGATACCATTTCTATGTTAAGGTCCAACAAGATTGTAGATACCGATGGCTTACATCAAGAGCTAACATAGTAAGATAAAACAAATTAAGTAGTCTATTTACAGCGTTGAGCTCGACGGCATTGGCATAACAGAACAGATGTAACCTAATATGTCGCATGGTCCCATGTGGTAAATACATATACTGGCGAGGCAGCTTTATTCCCGTCATTTACAAAACTAAAATTTTCGTACAATTTTCAAACTATATGTTTTAATTGGTAGGTTTTTGCTTGATTTTTTTTATATATAACAAAAATTGACACACAAAGATAGGCTTTTTGCTGGTCTAGTCGTCTTTTCATTATACTTATTATTCTCAATGGGCTATTGCTTGGGCTTGCACACTCAGATCCGATAGCAGTCTGATGGTGATTGAACCGAGAGGCTCTTGATGAAGCTATATAGACAGCTAGTTCAACCGGCAAGCCTAACATTTAATTCACACAATATTACCGGCCAGTGAAAACCATTTGTTAAATTATTTTAGTTTAAAAATTGTATCAGATAGTAAAATCTTAGATGTTACTATAAGCCGCAACAAATAAATAACAAAACCCGCCACAAGCAACAAAGAAATACGAGTACAATAAAAAGAACGCGTGTCTTTGTCCCGCTGAAGACTAAATGCGATTACAGAAATTGATTAGTGGCGTTTTTACTGCTGCTTTTCTACCATAGCGGTATATGAAATTGTAGTCCTCTACTGATAAGACTTAGCTCACGTGAGCGTAGAGAATCTCGTAAGTGCGATCTACGGCGTTAATCAAAAAAGGTGGCAGAACTTTAGCGACTTCCCGCCCGATCTGCCCGGAGGCGGATGAGCGAATCCCCGCTCTTTAGGTTGCAATTGGCCTTCCACGGTAGTTGACCGACGTATGCAGTTGTGCCCATGGGCAGCAACTGACGAAAATTTGAGTGAAGGCTTTAAGCAGAATTCTGCATCGATGTCGTCGATGGTCATGGCAACTGGGAGTTCGACTTTGAGTGGCGGTAACAAACAGTAGTGCGCAAGAGAAGTTTGCGTCCCCCTCACCACCCCAAGGTTTTGATTAAAAGACAAAAAATAGCATACACTGCCGCTCACTTGAATAGCGGCCCTTTTCTGAGATGTGAAAATACGAATTACTCACAGATTAATGCACTTAGTTGTACAATTATGTTTATTAACAGAAACATTATAATTATATTATTAACAGAAACACTCATTCATTCAAAATTTACAGTGACCAGGTAGGCTTTTATTATTTTGACACTTTAGTCTTGATTCTGGAATGTTTCTATCGTTTAGCCTTTAGCTGTTTAGCCGTTTAGCTGAGCATCAGAATAAACAAGTGGACGCGCTTAATAAATAAAATATTAAATTAATAAAAAAAGGAAAATCGTGCACACTTAAATAAAGAAATGAACAACATTAAAAAAAAATATTTGGCAAGTGAAAAAAAATTTAAGCAAAAAAAAAATACAAGTTTCCACACAACCTTTGTTTTAATAACGTTTATATGTAAGTATGCAGGTTGTAGGCTTAAAGTGACCCTGAAGAGGAAAAATTTTCGCCGTGCACAAATAATTAATATCATTTAAAAGTGTGTGAGTGTATGCACCCAAGAATTCTACGGGACAACGTCTTAGGAAAATAAAAAACAAAGCAAATTTAAAATATATCCGCTGTTAATGGAGTGAAATACTCTATAAGGAAATTTCGCTCAATATTTTATAAGTTATTGAAAAAGATAAATCAGAAGAGATTGACGATATAATGTCTAAGGCAAGCAACAACAAATATAATAAATGAATTTCTTAGCGATTCATTTTTGTCATTTGCTTATAATGATAATTCTGCAAATCAAATTTTAGATAAATTGGACTCACTGTACGAGCGTGAAAGTTTAGCCTTGCAACTTTCCATACGGGAGCAGATATTAACATTTATATTATATGGCGACAATTCACTTATGAGTCATTTAAATAGATTTAACGAATTGATGAATTAGTTAATGACATTAGGAGCTAAAATTGAAGAGGTGGAAAAAGTGTCACACTTACTTTTAACTTTACCTACTAACACTAACCAAAGAACATATAGACTGGACATCACATAGGAGAAACGATGGCACAAAAAGTATCGGAGGCATCTGCTCCAAACTAGCGAGGAAGGGAGTAAGATATACATATGATGTATTGTTGAACTGCCTTCTCTATAGGAATGTGCTGGGCGCACTGTCTTCCATATGATTTGTGCGATAGAACGGCAAGGCTGTTAATTTTTATCTCGCTCGCACTTACTCTCAGCTCTCAATGCTCTCTCTTAATGTTTAGGGATTGTTTAAGTGTGTATGTGTGTGTATGTGTCCGACAAGCAAAACTGCGCACAAATTCAATTTTTTCTCAAACGCTGAGGCGTTTCTACCCTTTTGAAGGCACGAGTTATATGAAATAGAGAAAATGTTTGCCACGTCGATGCGAAGTTCTTGCATTTTAGCTCGTTATTGTTGGTAAGGGTACCTAAGCGTTGCTATGTGTGCATTTTAAATATTTTCGCTATTCACACATACTTGAATATTTTGTATATGAATAGAAGCATTTATGCGCTTGTGTGTCTGTTGCTTGCCTGCCTGCCTGTCCCCGATGCAAATTTAACAAGATTTTGGGATTTCTGATACTTTTTGTGCCAACGTTTCTTCTTTGTGATGTCCAGTCTATATGTTCTTTTGTTAGTGGTATAAGGGTGTATTGTATTTGTCCAAAATTCAAATGTATGTAACAGGCAGAAGGACCCCATAAAGTATATATATTCTTGATCAGCATCAATACCCGAGTCGATCTAGCTATGTCCGTCTGTCTGTCCGTCCGTCCGTATGTATGAACGCAAGGATCTCAGAACCTATAAGAATGTAGATGTAGGTGCTACTAGTGCCTGCGCAGATCGAGTTTGTTTCCGATAATCGAAAACTTACTCCGCTTCCAAGCAATCGATAAATATCGATATCGATATCCTGTTTTTTTGGGCAGTTTTGGTAAATAATAAGAGCTAGAGTCACCAAACATGATATGTTTCTTCTAAAATATTGTATATTTGTCAAGTATCTTTCATTTTATACCCATCGCCACCTCTCTGCTACCATGCCAGAGCTAGAAATCAAGTTAATAACCCAACTTTTAATGCCAACCAATTTAAGCCAAAATTTAAATGCAATTGACTTTTTCAGTATACACAAATATTCTATGATACAATGAGATATACTGTTGAAAATTTCATAAAGATCGGTTAAGAAAAAACCAAAGTTATATGCAACTGCGCAATTGAATAGAGCAGCATCTTTAAGAATTTCTGTATACATGTACACACACTCATTCATGCGCATCTGCACACCGGGGAAACTATTTTTTTTTTGCTTTTGTGGCTGTTGAGTAGAGTCGACAGCAAGTCGACAGCGGTCATTTGCGAGTTCGAACCCTGCCAAGGGAATTTTTTTTTTAAATTTATTTGGTATTGGTATTCCCTAGTCGGGAGCTCCCGACTAGAACCTCTTGTTTGTAATGATTCTGCATGTCAGTCGAATTTTTCTGCTTGAGTCTGTCAATGTTCTCCTAGTTTTTTCGTATTGGTCTGGGTCTGTAGTCACGTTTCTGCCGAGGAATATGTCTAATGGTCTCTTGTTAGTTGTCGAGTGTATAGTGTATTTGTAGTCGTATATTGATTTGTTAAGTAGTTCTTCGAATGTTCTGTGCTCCTGTTTTCTTTTGTTGCATCTCATAATATCTGATAGTGTTGAATGAAATCTTTCTACCTGACCATTCACTGTAGGGTGGTGTTTTATAAACTTCTATATTTAATTGGTCCTGCATCATAAAAGTGATTGAGGCTGAATTAAGGGATTTTTCGCTATCTGTTACAACGGTTTTAGGTACATCAAAATAAAAAAGGATTTCATGAAGTGGTTTTTTAATGTCTTCTATTGCCCTAGATTTGATTATTCGTCCCTGAGCTAATTTCGAAAATTTGTCTACTGCCGTTAGTACTACGTTTTTTTCCGTCGTGTATATGTCGATGTGGATTGTCTGTCCTGGGTATTCGGGGATTGGTGTTTCTTTGCGTTTTGGATTAGTGGGATGCCTATCGTATATTTCTTCTTTACAAACCTGACACTGTTTGACTAATTCTGTTATTCGTTGCATCATTTTTGGGAAATAGAATCTTTCGGACAATTGTATTTTGTTGGCTAGTGCGTTGCGGTGGGCTCTGTTGTGTGTAACCAATATCTTCTCATCTTGTTCTGTTTCATTTGTTAAATCTTTTACTTGAGACTGTGTGAATCTAATCTTGAAGTTACTAAAATGTTAGGGATATATCTGCTTAATTTTGTTCATTATTTCTTCTGAGGTTATTATTCCGTTGATTACGAATGGGTTTTGATGAGCTTTCAGTATTTGCGTAAGGTCGTATTCTGAGAAATTTGGTCGAGTAATCGTATGCCTGTGGAATGTTGGGAATGGGATATGGAATTCGTAATTTGTTTAGTTGGCTCTATTGAGAAATATCTGGGTTTTAAATACGTTTATTGGAGCTTCTATGTTCGGAATTAAGTTGTGGCTTGAACTGCCCTGGGCTCAGCTGGGTGGCAGCTACTGATCCAATATTATTGATCACAGGGATACGTGATAGCGCATCGGCTACAATGTTATCCCTACCTGGCTTATAGAGGAGTTCGTATTCGAACTCTTCTAGGTAAGCTTTCCACCTCTTTATCCTAGCGTTGCCGTTACAACTGCTATGGGTCACTTGTTTTGGGATAGGATAGCCCCACAAGCAAAGTTGGATGCATCTGTTGTCAGATGAAAATCTTTGCTGAAGTCCGGGTAATGGAGTATTACCTCATTGGAAACTAGGGAGTTTTTTATTTTATTGAATGGAGAAGGCAGTTTTTTCTATGTCTGACTCTTTAAGGGGTATTTGATGAAAGCCACTTTTCAAATCTAAGACAGAGAGTACTTTCTTATTGCCTAGTTGTGCTAGTACCTCGATAATTTCAGGTATAGGGTATTTGTCGACAGTAGTTTCTTTATTTAGTTTCCTGTAGTCTATAACCATGCGATATTTCTTTTGCCCGGAGGCATCTAATTTTTTCGGGAGAATCCATACAGGTAAATTGTATGGGGATCGGGAGGGTCTGATGATTTCGTCCTTTAAAAGTTCATTGATTTGGGTGTGTACTTCGTCTTTTAAAGAAATTGGAAATTGGTATAATTTTGAATATTTGGTTGAGTCGGTTTTCGTTCGAATTTCTGCTCAGCGGTTGGTTGTGTATGTCAGTTATTCGTCCGGATTGGCGAATAGGTGTGGGTGCATTTTAACTAGTTGATTAAGGCATTTTTTTCGTTCGTTTGTCATATGTTCTGTCCGTGCTATTACCGTGCTTACCGCCTCAATTTTTTTTTGCTTAATGGGTATGCATATATTTTTCTTGATTATAAGTAGATTCTTGCTGCTTAGTATCACAGCCTCTAGTTCCTTTAGACTATCGTTATCTAATATAGCGCGGAATGATTTTAAGGTGGGTAAGAGAAAGAATTATATTTTTTTATCATTTCTATTAAAAAGATTAGCGAACTTGTGGTGTGTAATTTTAATGCTTCCGCCG